TTTCCCATCTAACTAATCAGAATAGTCACTGTGTATAATGATTTTTGTTTTATTTTAAAGACCTATCTTTTGTAAATAATTAAAATGGTTTATCATAAAATTAGAAAGTATAGTTAAACAAAAATAAATAAACAAGCTAAAAATAACCCTTAAATTCCATTGCTCTATTTGCTAAATAGGATTTGTTTAATCTAATTTAGCTAACACAACTTGCTGGACATTTTGATCAGTCTTTTTCCAAGTTATGAATATGTGTATGTGTGCATGTGTAGGAGAGAGAGAGTGAGAGAGAGAGGCACTGTGCTAGGCAGTTTACATATATCATCTTCTCAGATATTCACAAACTTCCATGAGGCAAATATGATTATTCTCATTTTACAGATGAATAAATTGGGACTTGGAGAGTCTTACAACATTATGTAGCTAGTTAAGTGGAGGAACAAAAGAAGTCTGATAAAACCCAAGTTTTGTGCCTTCATCACTATATTATAACACAACCATGAAAGCACATTGTGCACACAATAAATGTGACTACTTTTATGCTTGTTATTGTTGTTTAGTCGCTGCATTGTGTCCAAGTCTTGTGACCCCAGGGACTGTAGCTGTCCGTGGGATTTTCCAGGCAAGAGTACTGGAGTAGATGGTATTTCCTTCTCCAAGTGGATCTTCCTGACCCAGGGATCGAAACCGCGGCTCCTGCCGTGTCTGCTGCATTAGCAGGTGGACTGTTTACCCCTGAGCCACAGAGGAAGCCCAGATTAAATGTTCATTTTGCAAACATGGATTCATAGTGTGCATGTTATATCTAACCAGATATTGGGAATTCCCTTCTGGACCCACAGTTAAGAATCCCCCTTGCAGTGAAGGGGAGGTGGGTTCAGTCCCTGGTGAGGGGTCTAAGATCCCACATGCTGTGGAACGACTAAGCTCGTGCCCTCTGGAACCCTTGCACCACAGTCCATGCACCACAAAGAAGATCCTACGTGCTGCAGCTAAAATTCAACACAGCCAAGTAAATACATTTTTTTAATGTAATTTCAATTTTTTTTGTATCAAACATATATTTAAAATTTTAATAAGATTCCATTGAATGGTTGCTTTTATCTGACTCTCTATTGATAGGTATTTTGTTATTTTCAGTTTTGCCCTATAAGAAAAAAATATCAGTAAATATTTGTGTATATATATCTGTATGGATGGAGGGATTGCAAGTATTTTTTATGCTTATGTGAAACTCTCAACATTTAATACACACACATATACTGTGGACTGGCAGCAAATGGGGCAAGAGAATGAAGGGCAGTCATTGTCAGGGGCCCAGGCCAGCTGCTGCTGTATTCTCAGAGACCACAGATGAGCATGAGATTTCTAAACTCAAACCTGACCTTTTAGGCTCCCATGGTGTTATAGTTTTAAAGTTTTAAGAAAGAAGAAGAAGAAAGGAGACAATCCTAGCCTAGTGGTTGCCTAATCTATGCTTGAATAATTGCAAAAGCAAGGCATTTGCTATTTTTCCCAAATCCCAATTGGGTTAAGATTCTGGGGACCCAGAGCAAGAAACCCAAGTACTATGAACCTAAATATTTAAAATAAATCCTTCAGGTGAAAAAAGAAACTATGCTTTTCCCCCTTCTCTTGGCTCCCTCTGATACTATGAGGTACCTGGCCTGTCTGTGTGTGGACATCTTGCCTGCAAGTCTGAGGTCTGCATATTCCTACCTTGGAGACCCCAGGCTTTGATGCATACACAGGCTTGGATGCATACATTAGAAAGGAAACTCTTAGAAAAGGCTTGGGAATATGCATAAGGATGAGATCATTTCCAACTGGTGGCATATTTTCATGCAAATAGGGCATTTAAGCTATGAACTCCCAGCAATGGAATGGTAGAGAAGGGAGGAACTATGTATGAGGTGTGGACAGAAGCGAAGGAAAGAGTGAATGCTGGTGTGAGTGAGAAAACGGTGTGGTGAGGAAGCTGGTGGGGATTTTGTGAGACAAGGGCCTATGGTTGATTAGGAGGACCTAAACTGATGCAAGGAGGTAGAACTTTATCCTGTAGGTAGTGGCAAGTTCTTGAATTTGTGAGCATGGAAATGACACAATCTATTAGATCTGTATTTTAGGTCACCAACTTCAGTAGCAAAATTGAAGGTGAATTTTAGTTAGTTATTGACCAGTAGAGAAGCTGAATAGTTTTTCAAATTTCCTGCCTCTGAAACTTTTCTTCCCAATTCCCTCATGTGCATGCTAAGTCACTTCAGTCATATCTGAGTCTTTGTGACCCTATGGACCGTAGCCTGTCAGACTCCTCTGTCCATGGGGATTCTCCAGGCAAGAACACTGGAGTGGGTTGCTATTTCCTCCTCCAGGGGATCTTCCCAACCCAGGGATCGAACCAGCATCCCTTAGGTCTTCTGCATTGGCATGTAGATTCTTTACCACTAGCACCACCTGGAAAGCCCCAATTCTTTCACAGTAATAGGATAAAAATTATTAGTTGGAAAGTAGACTGTCATGTGTAGAAAGACAAATGAAGACAAACGGTGAGTTTAATGTTGGCCCCTAGGTCTACCATTATACAACATATATAGCAGAGGAAGAGCAGCAGTATCTCAGCAAACTCTTGCCTTCAGAAAGATGTCCAGACCTGTTAATGCAGAACCCATATGATGTCATAAAAGATGTTTTGGTTTTCAGAGTTTTGGCAGTAGGTTTTCTGGGGTGTGTGTGTGTGTGATATTGAATACACAGATGCTGAAAATCTGAACCCCACTTGCTACCTACAGTGTTTGGAGAGGGGCAGAGAGCAACAGTTTTCAGCATGACTCTATCCTGAAGGAGCTGATAAAAAGCAGAGAGAGGGAGAGAGAGATAAAGACAGCTACCTTTGGAGTCTAATTTGGGAACCTGGAGAACATTGCAAAACAAAATCTGTGTACATATGGGGGAAGTAAAATATCTAGCAATTATATTGTGTTACTCTAGGCATAATTGTGGACTTTAAAAAGGCACATATTATTTATAAGGAACACTATAATTATACCCATTCCATGAAATACATTATTTCCTGGACTACCTGTAATAACTCCTTTGAGGCTGTCTGTGGAAGGTCAAATTATTGTTCTAATTTTGGTCTGTTGACCACGACACAGAACTGAGGGTTGGTGGCAGTCTTCACTACCTGTCAAATAGGCACAATCACATGCCGTGAGGAAATGTCAGGATATTTTTAGGGTGAAGTCCAGATATTGCATATAAAGCTTCTCAATTTTAAAACAGGCCTGTGGTTTGGGTTTGTTGTCTTATCTATTTACTTTGTGAAATTGAGTGCAGAGCTATTGGAGATTTCCCTGTTGCCCTCCCTCAGTCTCTGTTCTTACTGATGACGTCAGTGACATTTCCTTTTTTCTTTGCTCTGGTTATCCAGCCCTTCGCTCTGCCTCACAGCTTTTCCTGCTGACCCCTTCTCCATCTTCTGTGCTTGTCATGTTTCCTGCCTGCTCACAAATGAAGATCAATGAAGCAAAAGCTGACCATCAAGAAACTTGGATTTTTATAATCTCAGCTCAGTCACTGACTAACCGCATTAACATTGGGCAAACCCTATTACCTTCCTTACTCTAAATTTCTTTCATCAATACAAAGTGGAGTACGAAATAGGTGACCTCCAAGGTACCCTTCGACTCTGACATTTGTGACTCTATCAAACCTGGGATGTAATTATTATAACAGTTTTAAGAAGTATAATTAAAGGAAAACTGCTCAAAAATATTAAGTGCTTTTGTGGTAATACTACAGAGACATCATGAATGCTGTAGAACACTCCATGTGAATTAATTTTCTTATATATTTATGAAGGTCTTTTCTCCCTCTACCCCCAAACTATTTGTCAATGGAGAAATTTACTCTATTTTTTCCTTTAATCATCATGTTACTGTATTCAAAATTTAAGGTCACTCTGGTCACTAATAATACATGCTAACATTTTTCGTGAAAGAATATTCAGAGTTAGTTGGTACTGCAGTTATTAAATCCCATGGATAATTGATTGGCTGTATAACAGACTTTGTTCTGCATCAAATAATAAATGAAGAACAGTTATCCAGAAATTAAACATTTTGCAGAGCATTGATTACTACAGAGAAGTTGAAATTTGGAAGGCAAGACCTGAGTTTCAGTTCTGGATTCAACAATTCTTAGTTTGTACCCAAATCCAGTTGGGTCCAACTGACTCAGAATCATAGCATTATATTTACTCATTGAGGAAAATATTCTTGAAAGAAAGCATGATGTAATTTCTAGCCAGAAAATAGAGCAATAGCAGTATTCATGAAAAGCAAAAGGCATTTTAGAAAAGTTATTAAGCAGAAATCAATAGGACCAATTGGATTTGTGATCAAGGGAGTTATATTTGACTAATACAACTCCTGGTTAATAAGATTCAGGCCAGAATGATTGTGGCAGAAATAAAGTCCGAAGTCATTTGAGGATGGGAAAAGTGGAGTAATGAGCATGGTGTTAGAATAAATGACTTTGAGGTGGCAGAAAAGTTATTTGTGGACATGTCTGACAGAAATTGAAAGCAAAGCCTGGCAGTATATGTTGAGGTGCTATTTGTGCAGAAGCCTTTTCAGTAGATCTCTGAGAGTATAGAGTACAGATTTTCAGACTTTAGTGGGAATGAGAATATTTTGGAGTTGGTGGTTCTGACCTCAGAGGTTCTAATTCAGTAGATTTGGAAATCCATATGGGACAAAGACATCCATATATTCTACTAGCTCCCCTAGGATTTTTATGCAGAAAGTCTGTGTGCTACAGTTTAGGGCAGCAGTTTTTAAGCTTTAACATGCATCAGAATTAACTGACGGGTTTGTTAAACTACAGATTGCTGGGCCTCACTTCTACGGATTCTGATGCAGCAGACCATGGGGCCAGACAAATTACTACTCTAACAAGGCAAATCCTGATGTTGCTGGTCAGGGGACCGTGTTTTGAAAATGCCTGCCTTATGGTGCATTGATTTCACTGACATAGACTTTAATAGAGATTCAGGAGCAGAATTCTGGAAAGCAATTACATGCAGTGGCAGCACCAAGAAGGGGTGCATGTTTATGAGCCCAGAGGAAAGCACCACAGGAGGAAGGTGGCTGGAAGATGCGAGTGAGTGAGGGACTAGGAAAGGGAGTAGTGGTCTGGAACAGTCTAAAAGGATGCAGGCAAGTCATAGGAAGAGCGAGTCTTTAAAATGAAGGTCGTATCAGTTGACAGCGTCAAATCTACAGCTACACACAGAGCAACTCTCACTGAAATGGACCTGGAGACAAGCAGACTGGCTCCTCTACAACCGAGGTCGTAAAGAAAGAACCACGCTGAGCTTGATAGGAGGGGAGAAGTGATCTAGCTGGGCTCTGAACTCCTGGTGGGTGACGCAAAGAACATGGGAGTATCATAGGTTCAGAGAGTCTCCCCGGGGATTGAGGGGTACAGGCACACCCTAGGCACAGCAGTCAAGGGATCTGACACCTGGAAGACAAGCCCCTTAGTTGGTTTGAAAACTAGAGAGGTTTATGAGAGGGTTGTAAGTAACCCAGAATCTGTTCTCAGAGAGCAGGCACAGTCTTGCTTCCTCCTGGGAACACTGTGGAGCCTGTTTTGAAAATTCCCTCCTGCTCTGGCCAGCTTGCCAGGACCATCTAGGCATGACTTCCAGCACCTTTGGGCTCCTGCTCCAGCATCTCCTGCTTCCCTGCTAAGAGGAAGGCAGCCATTGCCAGGAAAAGTGTGCATATTTGAAAGGAATGGAACTGACTTGGGCCCTGACCCTGTCTCTGACCAGAGAGGAGGCAGATCGTGTCAGAGGAGGAGCCTGTGTAGCTTTGGGAGGGAGTGGAATCAGCTCTGGGGTGGCCTCCGTCACTGCAGGTGTGCGCATCCACGTGCAGACTTGGGAACATGTGGAGACAGCTCGGTAGTGTGACTCCAGCCCCTTCAGTCCGGACCTGGTGTCTAACCATGATGGTGCCCTTGGGAAATAGTAAAACGGGTGCAAAAGTGCAGCCCCAGGACCTCAGGCCCCAGCTGTAGCCTCAGTCATCATGGAGAGGGATAGCACATCTGGGAGAAATCCAACATCCTCCACACTCCTGCTCCAGCTCCTTGGGCCCTGGTCTCACCCCTGATAGGGTAGTGGTTGCCCTCAAGCCTTGGAGAAGCCCTGGCTCATACCTGGCTCTGACTCTAGCCCTTCTGAATCCAGCCCAACCTCCCAGCAAGATGGTGGTTGCCAGGTCACCAGGAGGGAAGATTCAATCTGAGATCATTTCAGATTCAGCTCTCCTGCCAAAGTTGCTGGGCATACATATGCTGCAAAGGGATATGCCTTCAGGACTGGGGTAGATAACTGTTTCACCTAATTTCACAGAGACAGAGAAAGTTAAACAAAATGAGAAGACATAAGCATATGTTTCAAATGAAAGAGCAAGAAAAAAAAATCCTGAAAACCTTAATGAAAGAGAGATAAATAATTTACATGATAAAAAGTTGAAAGAAATAGCAATAAGAATGCTAAGTGAATTGGGAAAACAGTAGAGGTGCAAGTGAGAATTTTAACAAAGAAATAGAAAATATAAAAAAGAACCAATGAGAACTGAAGAATACAGTGAAAGTGAAAGTGTTAGTTGCTCAATCATGTCTGACTCTTTGTGATCCCATGGACGGTAGCCTGCCAGGCTCCTCTGTCCATGGAATTATCCAGCAAGAATACTGGAGTGGGTAGCCATTCCCTTCTCCAGGGGATCTTCTCAACTCAGAGACTGAATCCAGGTCTCCTGCATTGCAGGCATATTCTTTACTGTCTGAGTCACCAGGCAAGCCTTATAACTGAAATGAAAAAATATGCTAAAGCAAAGTAATGGCAGATTAGGTGACATAGAACCCATAAGCAATCTAGAAAATAGAATAGTGAAAATCACCCAATAAGAGCAGCAAAAAGAAAAACAAATTTTAAAAAGTGAGGATAGTTTAAGGGACCTCTGCACCAGCATCAAGCATATTAGTATTTGCATTATAGGGATTGCAGAAGAAAAGAAAAAAGGTGCATGAAATGTATTTGGTGAAATTGTGATTGAAAACTTCCTAAACCTGAAAAAAGGAAATAGATATCCACGTACAGGAAGCAAAGAGAACCCCAAAGATGAAGCCCCCAAAAAACCATAGCAAGACATATAATTAAGTGGAAAAAATGAAAGATAAACAATTTTAAAGGCAGCAAGAGAAAAACAGAGAGTCACATACAAGGTAGCCCCCATAAGAATATCAACTGACTTTTCAACAGAAACTTTGCAAGCCAGAAGGGAGTAACACGATATATTTGAAGTGCTGAAAGGGAAAAAACCTTCAACCTAGGATATCTTACCCAGCAAGGTTATCATTCGGAATTGAAGGAGACCTAAAGAGCTTTTCAGACAAGCAAAAACTAAAAGAGTTCATCAATACTAAACCTACCTTGAGTCTTCTCAAAGTGGAAAAGAAGAGGCTACGACAAGAAATAAGAAATTATAGAGAGGGAAAAAATACCAAGGGTATTGGCAATTATATGGTAAAGGAAGTGGTTCAATCACTTAAGCTAGTATGAAAGTTCAAAGACAAAAATTATGACATCAACCATAACTACAATAGACAGTTAAGGGAAATGCATGAAGATGTAAAATATGACATCAAAGAGACAAAGTGTTGAGAGGGGAGTATAAAATGTAGATCTTTTAGAATGTATTTAAATGTAAATGACTACCAGCTTAAAACAAGTAGATATAGCTTAGCACATATGAACCCCATGGTAAATACAAATCAGAAACCTACAATAGACACACAGAAACTAGAGGTAAAGGAACACAAGCTTAAAATACCAGTAAAGCATCAATGAAAACATCGCCAAAATCCTCAATCCACAGGAAAGATATGAACAGAAGAAGGGGAAGAGGCTTAAGAGATACAAACTACTATACATACATACATACATATCTATATAAATATATAAAATAAGATACAAGGATATAATGTACAGCACAGGGAATATAGCCTGCATTTTATACTAACTTTAAATGAAGTATAGCCTATAAAAATTTCCAACAATTATGTTACACACCTGAAATTAATATAAACTTGTAAATCAACTGTACCTATCAATTTAAAAAGTTGAAAAAAGGTGCTCAACATCATTATTTATTAGGAAAATGTTAATCAAGCCAAAAATAAGATAACTGCAACATACCTAAAGTACATCTAAAATTTAAAAAACTGAAAATTTTTTTTTAGTATTCACATGGATGTGGATCATTTGGAACTCTCATATACTGTTGGTGAAAACGTTAGACAGTATAACCATTTTAGAAAGTGGTATGGCAGATCCTTAGAAAGTTAAACATGAAAAGCAGGGAATAGGTGCTGATTCTAAAGTTGCCATGACAATTGAGACACTGGTGAATGAGAGTATAATTTTTTCTCCTCTATTTAATGTAAAAAAAATCTGTGATATATTATATTTAAAGTGTTCCATTTAATATGGGTATTTTACCATAGTCTTTCCATCCACATTCACAGCATGGAGGATTTGGGAAGCCAAATCCTACCTATGTACCTACCTATGTACCTACCATATGACCCAAACAAAAACCTATATATAAATATTTACAGCAGATTTTCTTGTAACAGTAAAAAGTGGAAACAAATAGATATCATTCAACAGGTGACTAGAAAAGTAAAACTGAGGTATATCCATACAATGGAACACTGTAAAGCAATAAGAAAAATGAACTATAAATGCATGTGTAAACATAGATGAATCTGAAATGCATTTTGCTAAGTGAAAGAGCTCAGATCTGAACGGCTACATGGTATATTACAATTATATGACATTCTGCAAAAGGAAAAACTATAGGAAGGAAATAAGTCCAAACAAATGATGTCTGGAACCACTGGATGGGCAGAAGAATTGTCCTTAAAGGTGTAGCACATGGGAATTTGGAGGCAGGGGGCTGGGTGTAGGGTGGGGAACAGAACTCTTCTCTATGGATCCATGGTGGTAAATACATGACACCACACATTTATAAATCCTTCAGATATATATGTCACAAAAATAAACAACCATTATTGCACATTACCAGAAATTCAACAAGAAAGAGAATAAAGATGGAACACAGGCTATACAAAAAGGAAAAAATAAATTAAGGCCATCATTAACTAATTGGATGTCAGAAAAAAAGATGTCAAAATCAGAGGTTTTTTGAAATAAAGAGAGGGGGGAAGCTTCAACTACTTGTTCCACTGAGAAATCCTTGCTTTCTTTCTTTTCTCTGGTGCATTTGTTGTAAAACTTTCCATTACATGTTTGGTCAGCTCCTAATATGGCTAATGAGTACCCAAGGTAACTAAAACCTTCTCAGAATAAAAGTATCAACACCCTATGGGGTTTACAGTTGGCACTACCGTTAAAGAATCTTCCTGCCAGTGCAGGAGACATACATCCAGGGTTTATCCCAGGTCAGGAAGATCCCCTGGAGAAGAGAATGGCATCCCACTCCAGTATTCTTGCCTGGAAAATCCCAGGAACAGAGGAGCCTGGTGGGCTCCAGCCCATGGGGGCGCAAAGAATTGGACATGACTGAGCACCTGAGCATAACCCCATGTGTTGGCCTATGTTTTCCCACCTAAGCTCTCTTTTGCACTTTTCATGTTCCCAAATCCATCTTTGAAATTGCCTAGCATATCCATCATATCTCTCCAAGACTCTCAGTGCATAATTGGACAGCCTCTTTCAATATCTTCAATCTTGACCCTTTTATTTGCCAGTGTACAGAATAGAATAATTGATTCTCTATCATCTTCCAAAAGTGAGCAATGAGGTTGTTTTTAGTATGATCAAGAACTTAGGGATCTGAAAATATTTTATCATGTTTTTATCAATTAAATTATTGTTTTCTTGATATTCAAATTGTCACAGTTTTTCTTTTTTAAAAATTATCTATTTAATTGGAGGATACTTATTTTACAATATTGTGATGGTTTTTGCTCTACATCAACATGAATTGGCCAGAAGCATACAGGTGTCCCCTGCCTCCGGAAGCCCGTCCCACCGTCCTCCCCACCCCACCCCTCCAGGCTGT